AGGTTATATTTTTGTTTACACATGGTTAAAATGTGTTTACTGTACTGTTGTAAAGCACTTTGGTCAACTCCGGTTGTTTTTAAACTGTGCTATATAAATAAAAATGTATTGTATTGTATTGTAACCATGGAATTAAAATAGTTGAACTACAGTAAAACCATGGTTCATTTTCATAAGGGACTGCCAGTGATAGGCTGTTGCACGCATAAAATGCAACCTTTTATTCTGAAAGTGTATGATTTATATTAACATTACAGAATAGAACATGATCAATATTATCTTTTAACATTTAATTTAAATAAAGTAATTGCACAAACTATGTAGGCTACCATTTCAATTGGTTTATTGTGAAATAACTCAAACATATATGTTTTTTCTGCACTTGTTGTTCTGGGCTGCTGTTCCTAAAAGCATCGATGGTTTCTTATGATACTTTAGGAAGCGCAGCCCTGTTTGAATGCGCTGTCAGAAGTGAGTGAACGCTCTCTGTGATTGATTAGTTCTGTCTTGCAACATTTGCATGTGTTCAGATGAGCAGGAAAATTGTTTTATCCTACACAATTATTCACTAACATAGGTTATTTGTCCAATTCTATCTATATTGTACACATTACATTTTTTGTTAAATAAACAAAATCACTCGTTAAAAAAAAAACACACCTTAATATCGATATTTTTTATTTGAGTATCGATACTTTCGACTCTCGCATCAGTATCGATACGCCCATCCTTAGCCTGTGTGAATTACCTGCGTCTGTGTCTCTCTCTACAAACAATGAAGCTGGGTTTTGTTACTTCAAAAACAGCATTTTAACCCTCGTTGCTGAGAAATATAATCTAGCGATTCAGCATCGAAAAAGTCGTGGACAGACAGGTTTCTGAGCTCCTGAATGTTTCTGTGTGTGCGCAGCACGATCTCCGCTCTCTGTCAAAAAAAATGCTTCAGAAACTATTTGAATGATAATCAAATATATATTTTTATCTGAACATTTAAAAATGATTATGACTTGAAAAATGATACCACATCAACACAATCACATCATTCAGATCTGAGACCAACACAGATGCCAACATATAACGGATCCAGAAGCAGATCACTGCTCGTCATTTACAGAAATAATCGACTGGGGGCAGTTTCATAAAACGAGTCTACCAAATAAGCCGAGGCAGGCTAACTGTCAGGCTAAGCTGAGCTCCTCTAACACTGACCAATAGGAACAC